TGTATTAGTTATAATACTTATCTATTATATTTGTTAAGTCTATATATTTATGAATTTTCTTCTTCTTATTATTATTATTATTAATTTTGTCTTTTATTAATGATTCCATGCACTAAATTCTTCAATAGATTTTCTTGAATTTCTTATTTAATTCATTAAAAATTTTCTTAACAAGATTTAAATCAAAAGATTACCAACATCGTTACATTAATCCATTGCTTTTTTTTATAACTCTTGTAAATAACTTCCATAAACTTTTTTTTACATATTTTGAATGATTAATTTACATTACGTGAATACATAATTTTTAATTAATCATTTTGTCAATAATCTCGATCGATCATTACGTTTTCTATGAAGTTAATCAATTCTAATACTTATAAAAAGAGATATACATAGAGAATAGTTGTATCATATTCACAGGAAAATTAAATGTTTTCCAGATTAAAATGATTTTAAAATGATATATCTGGACGTAATCACCAGATTTCAATTATTTGCACACAATTATATTAAATTGGTGCGTGTGAAACGTGGTTCTTGAAATATAACTTTCATCGTGCGTAAATTCTTCAAAATAACATATATTTAATTCAAGTAATTATTTCTATATTTAGATTTAGTATACTTTTCCGAATAACAAAATGCAAATTTATGTAAGTTAATTTTAGAATTAAAAAATTTTTGAAATTTTTTAAAATTAATTTATGTGTTAAAAAATTAAATTTAGATAGAAAAGAGGATGTCTTTAATCTTCTAAATGTATGCTTGCAATAATTTTCAGAACACTTCTAAATATAAACGTATAAGAGAATTATAAAATTGTTCATACATTAATAAGTAGACATGATATTTATTAATTAATTTATTTATTATGAAGTAAATATTTATTAATTTTTGAAGAATTTAAGAGTATAAAAATTCATATTATTCAGATATATAAAATATCCAAAGTGCTTTAATGAAGCACAAATTCTTTATTCTACTTAAAAATATAGAAATGCATAAACATCAATAGTCTACTAATAAAGTTCCAATTTTCTTATCACAACGTTCTTGATACTGAACATACATGATCTGGAACAACTTTCTCCTTTTTTCAATATACTTGATAATCAGTAATTAATAAAATCCAAATTTCAAGAAAAACTTCATATGCATCAACCTAATATGTCAGACAGTTTTATGCGCTTCATACTCTGGGTGTCACTTAAATACATACAATGAGTATTTCTATAGCAATCACTTATGTATATTTGAAAAGCAAATGATTAAAAGTATCATCTATAATCCTGAGTTACAGAGAATAGTGTGTTTAGAAAGGTAAAACGAAACAACTGTATTTCATCCCGGTAAGCGTTCAATTATTTATATAAATCCAGTTAAGGATATACATTTTAATCCTCTACTGTCCGGAAAGTAATTTTTCCATTATCATTTACACCTGTTGTCGACGATTTGTGAGAGACCGTTTTGCCATCTGGGCCAACCATGCTGTGAGAACTAGAGCTAGAAAACACTCCGTAGGAGCCGCCAGACGGTGGAGGCAGTTCATTGGCAAATCTGGATTCCACTCCCGGCGCAGCCTGAAATTTTAAATAATTCCATTTCATGAAAAGAGATATATACATTCTCCAAATTGCCATGTAATTCAAAATATCTGAAATTCCATGACTGTTTATGACTAGACGGTGCGGATATTTATGCAATTTATGAGAAATTTAGAAATATGAAAATCTTTAGAATGCACATGAATTGTAAAAATATATGACATATTTGGTGTAAAGTATTTTTTTATAATATTTAGTAGTAGAATTTATGCTTAAATGTTAATCATATTCATAGAAAATTTGAAAAAGATTCTAGATATAAACATGGAATTCTAGAAAAAAATGGATAGAAAGAAAATTCCAATCACTCGAAGTTTAGAATAGATTTAAGAATTATTTTTGAAAATCCGAAATCTTGAATCTTCAATGCTCATCATTTTTTTCTTGTAAAATATCATATCTAATATATATTTTTGACATTTTTGGTAATAAAATATGTTACCAGAATCGCAAATAATCATTCAAATCTCTCAATAGGCAATATATTACCTTTTAATTATTATATTATTATGTTGTACTATAATTATTTAACGTACCAACTTTACGAAAATGCATACAGATATTTATAGTTTTGAAACATAATTGTAACAAATCAAAAAGCAAATAATCATAATGTTATATAAGAAGAAACGACAGGATATATGCTCACGATATAAAATTGAAATCATTGTTACTTATGAGTAAGATTTCTGTAAATTTGATCTATTATATTGTCAATAAAAGAATGTACAGATTTAATTATTTATTCTTTTTATTGTAGATGTTAATTTTTTATCACTCTGTCAATTTGATATCAAGAAACAAATTAAGTTGAAAAACTGAATGACGGATAAGCGTTAAAAAGCGGTAAAAAAGTCTCGAGAATGTTGATCGCCTTGAATCTCTTAAAAGTTCTGAAAATTGTAGTAATTTGATGACGTGATGAATATTCAGTTGACACAAATTTTTTGATTACTTTGATTCAAACAGTATGCTTTATATATATATTGAAATATTTTTCTTCGCGAATTTATATATTTTATATAATTTTTTAAATAACTTAATGATTTTTTAAAAAAATAATTTAGTGATCCTTTAACTTTCTAGCGTAGTATATAATTACAGTTAGATTTCATTTTTTTTAGATTTTTATTTGGGGAAAACTTAAAGATGATATAATATGAAAAAATATATGAAGTAATCAAAGAGTAGTGCTTTTTGATATGATATTTGGATATAAAATAACTTTCTATCTGAATCAAATTTTTTTTTAATTATGTTCTCAAATATATGATTTTCTCAGTTTAAATTATCAAGATAAATATAGTATATAGGTTTAGGTTTTTATATTTACACAAGTTAAACGTATATGTAATACAATATATATTTAACACATAAATGGATCAACGATTTTAAACGAGATAATAATAATTTTTGAAGATATTAATAATTTTTTAATAATATTTGAGCTTGCCTTATTTTCTACAAATATTTTAATATATATTTATGAACAGTGAATAGTGAATATATGTGGAAGTAATAAATCGAACAATGAGTATATATGCTTACGTATTTATATATAAAATTTTAAAACTTACCGGATTAATTGCACCAGATTGATAACCACCTCCTGGTCCCAACTGAATGCTAGATACAGCGCTATGTGTACCAGGAATGTTATTGGCTCCATCGGCTATACGATCAGACAGCCTATATACCAAGTTTCATGAATTAATTACTTTCATAACATTATACATATACGTACTATAAAATTCAAGTTGTCACTTTGTCAGTATAACAATATATTTCATCAATATATCAATTAATTGAAAATACAAATTTTAAGGCTCTCAATGATACCAAGGAATATTTTGAACATCTTGAACATTTTGTTAAAACATTCTAAATTTTTTTTAGTTATTTAGTTAT